AATTCAGAAATTCAGAAATTCAGATATTCAGAAATTCAGAAATTCAGAAATTCAGATATTCAGAAATTCAGAAATTCAGATATTCAGAAATTCAGAAATTCAGAAATTCAGATATTCAGAAATTCAGAAATTCAGATATTCAGATATTCAGAAATTCAGAAATTCAGAAATTCAGAAATTCAGAAATTCAGAAATTCAGAAATTCAGATATTCAGAAATTCAGAAATTCAGATATGCAGAAATTCAGAAATTCAGAAATTCAGATATTCAGAAATTCAGAAATTCAGAAATTCAGAAATTCAGATATTCAGAAATTCAGAAATTCAGAAATTCAGATATTCAGAAATTCAGAAATTCAGAAATTCAGATATTCAGAAATTCAGAAATTCAGAAATTCAGAAATTCAGAAATTCAGAAATTCAGAAATTCAGAAATTCAGAAATTCAGAAATTCAGAAATTCAGAAATTCAGAAATTCAGAAATTAAAAAACTCAAAAAATTTGAAAACTCAAAAATTTGAAATCTCAAAATTTTAAAAATTAGAAAATATTCAGAAATTCAGAAATTCAGAAATTCAGATATGCAGAAATTCAGAAATTCAGAAATTCAGATATTCAGAAATTCAGAAATTCAGAAATTCAGAAATTCAGAAATTCAGAAATTCAGATATTCAGAAATTCAGAAATTCAGAAATTCAGAAATTCAGATATGCAGAAATTCAGAAATTCAGAAATTCAGATATTCAGAAATTCAGAAATTCAGAAATTCAGATATTCAGATATTCAGAAATTCAGAAATTCAGAAATTCAGATATTCAGAAATTCAGAAATTCAGATATTCAGATATTCAGAAATTCAGAAATTCAGAAATTCAGATATGCAGAAATTCAGAAATTCAGAAATTCAGAAATTCAGAAATTCAGAAATTCAGAAATTCAGAAATTCAGAAATTCAGAAATTCAGAAATTCAGAAATTCAGAAGTTCAGAAACTGCGAAAATTTGAAAACTCAAAAATTTGAAATCTCGAAATTTTACAGAGTAGAAGATGTTCAGAAATTCAGATATGCAGAAATTCAGATATGCGGAAATTCAGATATTCAGAGATTCAGATATTCAGAAATTCAGAAATTCAGAAATTCAGAAATTCAGATATTCAGAAATTCAGAAATTCAGAAATTCAGAAATTCAGATATGCAGAAATTCAGAAATTCAGAAATTCAGATATTCAGAAATTCAGAAATTCAGAAATTCAGAAATTCAGATATTCAGAAATTCAGAAATTCAGAAATTCAGATATTCAGAAATTCAGAAATTCAGATATTCAGAAATTCAGAAATTCAGAAATTCAGATATTCAGAAATTCAGAAATTCAGATATTCAGATATTCAGAAATTCAGAAATTCAGAAATTCAGAAATTCAGAAATTCAGAAATTCAGAAATTCAGATATTCAGAAATTCAGAAATTCAGATATTCAGAAATTCAGAAATTCATTACAGGTTTGTTTCGGTAGGCAACATTAAAACATATTACTGTAACTCCTTTCATTTTTTGTATAGTATTTTTGAAGATCTATATGAGCTTTAAAAGCCTAAAAGACATCCTTTCTTATGATATTCGCTCGAATTCGGGCGCGCGTAGTTCAGTTGACCTTGGTCCGGCATTGCTAAAGTTGTTTCCATAAGTTCAATTTCCCGATAAACTTAAAAAGGCAAAAAATTGAGAAACAACTTTTTCATGCCCCGCTAGCTCATATGAGTCCACTTTATAGAGCCGTAAACTCAAATAGAAATTTGAAACCAACCTCACTTGCACGGATCGCAATACTGTAGTCGATAAATGCGGCACACATTTGCTGACTGAAGTCGAGGTTTGTGAAAACCTGAAAACGAAAAAAATGAATTTCGATTGCTACATTCAAAATTTACCAGATTTCTGACTCGATCGCTCAGGCCCATCAGTTCACAACTGATATGAACACCTGCCCACTGTTGAGCTGCTTGGAGTATTTTCTGAAACGAATGGCAGTTTTGAATAGAGACAAATTTTCAAATAAAGAATGCTACAGAAAAACTTTCATCCCTTTGTAAAGATATAATTACAGGCGATTTTTCGAAGCTTTAGAATTTTCGGAATATTTGAATTTGTTGGATTTATGGATTTTTTTGAATTTAGAATTTAAAAACCAAGGAAACTCTAGTTTCGAAAATTTTCGAAAAAAAATCAGATTTTCCACAATTCCCAAGAACTCCAAAAATTCGAAACTTCTTAATTTATGAAAATTCCATTAAGAAATACAGAAAATTAGGTTTTGAACAAAACATGTAATCTTGTGAGGAGTCATAATAAGGAAACTGAACACAAAACTTATGTGTTCTTTTTGAAAAACCATTAGGAAATAGGCGGAGCTTGGCTGACAAGGCGGCATCAAATAAAGAGCCACAAAGGAGGTTTTAATTAGATCGAAAGATCACCAAAAGATCATCAAAATGTACACATTTTATTCAAACAAATTTGAATCTCACCTAACTATTTTGGAAAATTGAACAGTAGAGTATTTTAAAACACGTGTATCCAACGCGAAATATTCATTTTTTGAATGGGCGTAGTTATAGTCAAATACTTGGAAATCATTTGTTCTGCATTGTTCCATTGATCAGTTTGTGATATTTGATCAACTTCAAATGACAATTCTATAAAACTTGCATACTTTACAATTAGAAACTCCTGTTTTGACGGAGAAATGGATGTCTAAATCCTAAATCGGTTACTTTCACACGAGTTGCAAAAGAAGACACTCCATTTTTCCAATTACCGATGAATCAATTAGTGATTAATTAATTTATAATTATCATTTGATTATCATTCATTGTAATTTTTATCTTTGAACTATTGAAATATTTCAAATATTTATTCAATTTTAATCTTTACATGAAAATTCCCAACAATTTTTCTGATCACAAAAACCATCATAGCTAAAATGATAGTGCAGAAAAACGCAACATCGATCATAAAATATTCAATAAATCCCATTTTTCTGGAATATGGATCCAGGGAAGGAAGACGGCCAAATCTGTAAATTTTTTTCTACAAATTCAACCAATTTTGCAAAGACTTACCTCGCTGCAAATTCAGCATGTTTGACCATTGAATCTTTCGGCTTGATGGGTTGATTTGCCAATTGCTCAGCTAATTTTTTGGAGTTTTCAGAATATGAATCGTCATATAGAATCTTTTGAAAAGCCTCGGCGATTTTCTTGGAATTTGATAAATCATATTTGGAGAATCCTATCGACCCATTGTGTCTTGTGAGCATTTTTGTATTTCTCATTTGGTCGGCAAATAGGGGGCACTGGAAAAAGTTTTTCGGTTTTTTTTTTGAGATTGTTGAAAAATTGTGATCTACCAGAATCGCGGGTATTCCCAAGTAGCTGAGCTCATTGATACTTCCCAAACCACCATGAGTTAGAAAAGCTGAGAGTCGAGGATTGGCTGAAAATGAGGAGAATTTCAGAAGAGTGAAAATTTCAGATTTTTTTTGTTTTCGGAATTTCAGATTTCTTTCCTGGAATTTTAATTTCGGAACCCTCCAAAAAAAGCGATTTTACCCAACAACGCTCTCTGTGGAACCCATTCCGCAAATTCGATATTCTCAACTCCTCCAGAAAATCTTTCAAAATCATTATCTTCATATTTCCAAATAAATGTGACGTCTTCAAATTCCCTCATCGCTCTAACCAAAGCCTTTTTATTCTCCAATGGCATATCCTTGGAAAGTAATAAAGATCCAAATGAAACTAAAATCGTTTTTTCTCGAAGATTCAGGATCTGGGACCATTTCTTTGACAATTTCTCGCTTTTAATTTTGGAAACATCCACAGAAATTCCCCCGATTTCCACTGTTTTTGTTAGCGTTGGTCTCGGGAAATCCAAGAATGGATTAGAATTGATAAAGACGAATGAGGCATCTGGTTCGATGTGTCTGATGTCAATGACATTGAAAGGGGGTTTAAAGGATCTATGAACTGGGTAACCAAGTATGGAATCGATTGATCTGACCACTAGAACATTGACGATTCTCTCCCAAAATGATAAAATCTCTCCATGGGGAAGTAATCCATCAGAAACCACACTTGGCATCGCCGGTTCTCCAATGGATTCAGACAAAGCGACGTTGTGAGTAACCGAGAGAGATGGAATGAAGGTTTTGATATCGAGATAGTCCATCAGTGCTAAAGATTAACTGATAAGAGAGTGATAAGAAGAGACACTCACGATACGCCGAGAAAACATAGGCTTCGAAAATCATGACATCAAAGTTCCGACGCTTCAAATCGTCCAAAATTTCCAAATTGTTCTTCATCACCTCTGCTTGCTCATTGTACATGTTTTGAAAAACACGAATTACTGGAATTATTTCTGTCGCTGATGAATCTTCGGTCCAGAATCTGGAAATATCCCCGGATGATAATTGATCACCGAAATCTTTGAGTTTCTGGGATGGGTCCATGTGAACGACGTCTTTTGTAGATTTTGTGTAGCTGATGTTACGGTACTTGGTCACGATTGTGGGGGTGAAGAAGGTCTGAAAAAACAGTTCTGAATTTTTCGCTGATAATTCAATTTAAAGGCGCATACGAGTTTTTTTAACAGCCGAAAGATTTCCAGAATTTTCAAAAATACTTACCACATTATGTCCGGCGTCAGTCAAAAAATCACAAATAGTTCCGAAAAAAGTAGAATGACTATGTGCAAATAACGGGGAATACACTAGAAAATTAAAGGAATATCCGAGAGAAAATAGACAAAACAGACCAAGAAACAGACGCATTTTTGTGTTCTTGACAATACAAAAAAGTTATTATCAGTTGGTGATAAAAAAGGTTTTTATTGATAAAACTGGCTACGTGATACACTGATTCGAAATGATACGAAAAACATTTAGTTTGGTTGGTGACAATTTCAAAAAGGTTGAATATTTTTCATGGAAAAATATATTTTTAGCCGGATTAATTTTTCAAAATAATGATTTTTTTAGTTTTCAACAGAGTTTGGAGGATGAGAATGACAAATCAAAAAGGTCACTTTTTAGAGAAAACTTTTTTTGATTCATGAGGGTTTGATGATTTTTGTTTTCCGGAAATGTCAAAAAACTTCTTTTGATACTTTTGGTTACTGTAGTCCTGATATACTGGTACTTGATTTTTGGAAAATATAGGTTTTTTGGGATGCTGAATCGAATGGCATTAGCCGTTTTTTCTAAGTTTTGTACTTTTTCTGAGGACCTCAAAAAATGGGATGGTGATATTATTATGATGCGCACTTTATACCGTAAACACTCTAATAGAACGCCACCCGAATCGTCAAATTTGAGCCTATGTATCTCATTTTCTGTAAGAGATATCGAAAAGTGGTCGACTAATAAAATGTTGCTGATATCATGATAAACATTTAATCAGTTACCAACTTTTTGATATCTTTCAAAAAAAGTGAGATATTTAGGCTCAAAGTGGACGGTCCGGGTGGCGTTCTATCAGAGTGTTAACGGTAATTTTAAATCTTCCCTAAATATATTTTTAAGGATAAAACCGGAATATATTTTGTGTCTCTGGTTACTGTAGCTCAAAACTTTTGAGACCAAATTTTTCGATTCTCTTTTTCTTAATTTTGGACTATTTTTTTCCAAACTTAGGGAGAGAAAATTTAAGAAAAATTTATAATTTACGTGAAATTTTAAATATTTTTGACTGGGAGTACTTTGTAGACTGGGAGTACTTTTTGGGGCAAAAAAAGAGTGGAAAAAAAGATAAAACACAAAATTTTCCCGAATAAACGTTCTCTGAAAAATTGACACTTTTTGAAAAAAATTCGCCGAAAAAATCAACCAAAAAGTTCAACTGAATAGGTTCCTTGAATATGGTTTTGACTGAAAAAAAGTGGAAAATTTTTAGGAGAAGTTGTCAATTTTATCAAAATATTTTTCTAGTAAAAAAATCGAAAATTAACACTTTTTAAAGGTGGGGGGACAGGAGATTTTACGGGGGATTTTTGGGGCCAGAGTATGCATTCTACCGTGACGGTGTACAACGCTTAATGTCACTCTGCGTACAGCTGTCGTCCTCGCCTTTATGTAAGCAATCGGGCGTGCGTTTTCTCTTTGCCCGCGTGGCTCAGTCGGTAGCGGCGCCGCACCCTCAATCATCGCCCTCACAAGTTCAACTCCTCGAGAGGCATCTGTGAACGGAATTTCGAGAACATTATTTTTTTCATGTCCCCCCACCTTTAAATGGCTTTGTACCCCCTTGTACCCCCGAATTTTTGTACCCTCCGAATTGTTTGCCTTAAAATATCAAGTAATTTATTCTAGAACACAAAAAATCATTTAATTTTCAAACAAAAATGTCTTTGAAAAAGCGAATGATGAAGTCAAAAATTGGAGCACCAAAATAGCAGATGACTGGAATATAGACTGGAGCCAGAATCAGAAGCCACAAATAGGGAAAAACCCAGTGATTTTTGTTTGATTGAATCCGATCCTTCAGAAATTGTGCTCCTTGTTTTATAATTCCATCTTTTTCCGATTTTCCCAAAGTCGATTCGTATGCTTCTTTTTTGGCAAAAATCTTTTTCATAATTTTAACCATCAGTTTGTATTTGAATTTGTCGTCATGCTGAAAAAATGAAAAACTTGTTATATATTTAATCTATGAAAAAAGCAGTACCTTCGGTCCCTTATGTTTATTCCTCCCATTCCCTTTTTTCTTCTTCTTCAAATCTGCCGCAAAAACGTGTATTTCGTTGGTTGGATCCCATTTTTTCAACGAATCCATCGCTAATTCATCAGCGGAATAAATACATAATTTTCCGTCGTTCGTGAATGTATGGACCACGTAGTTTGTACCATCCGGCTTATCCAAGGATAGCATATATCTTCTGAAAATCAGAATACCGTAAACAACTCTAATAGAACGCCACCAGGCTCGTCAAATTTGAACCAATGTATCTCAATTTCTGTAAAAGATATCAAAAAGTGGTCAACTGACAAAATATGTATCATAATATCAGTAACGTTTTATCAGTTAACCACTTTTTGATGTCTTTCATAAGAACCGAAATATATGGGCTCAAAGATGACAGTTTGGGTGGCGTTGTATTAGAAATAAAGTTTGCAGTAGTTTTGGATTTTCCGAATTCGAACAAAAAATAGACAAACAATCCCAAACACTCACTTCTCCTCAGACATTGTTCCTCGATGTAGTTAAATTGAAAAAAGAGAAAATATGCGTAGATTCGAAAATTGAAATCGTGGAAAAAATTTCGGAGATTAGCAAAGTTTTTGGATTTTTATATAATATTTTTCACGTGATACCCTAGTTTCTAGTATGCTAAAAAGCATGGCTATTCAAAATGACGGCAGGCAGGCTCCATTTTTTTACTCAATTTTATTTTTTTTTTCGCGTTGCATTTTCCTATTTTAAAAGTTTGGGTGACCTGGTTTATTTTTTTACGGACCCTTAAATAAATATTTTCATTTTATACCGTAAAACCTGTATTAGAAGAGCCCCCTTTAATAGAAGGGCCCCTTTAATAGAAGTGTTAACCCAGGGGGACTTGGAAAAATAGAAGGACCCCCTGTAATAGAAGGGCCCTTTGTGATAAAGGACTACCCTTTAAAATGTATTTTGAAATCAGGAAATTTCCATACTTTTCCGGTGAAAAATATTCCAGGAACTCCACAATTTATTAGAAATTTGTTGAAACTCTATTTTTCGATGAAAATCTTGCTAAATTTTGGTGAAATTGGCAGATCTTCATGAATTTTGAACGAAACTTCGTCTTATATATTCGATGCAAATTTCGGAAAAACTGTCAGGAAAAATAAAAGGGCCCCCTCTAATTGAAGGGCCCCCGTCATAGAAGGGCCCTCCAGAGGTAACATCAAACAATAGAAGGGCCGGCCCTTTTCATACAGGTTTCACGGTATCTTACGTGAACTTTTTTTGTACATTTTCAGGGCTGATTAAACTCCTAGGGAGCTTTTTTCTTTGGTTTAGATTGCTAGGGTGCTAGGGTATAAGCCTACTTTTTTTAAGGATTGAGAAAAAATTTAGAAAAAATCACGTAAAGTATACAAAACATTTTCACGAAAAGGATTTCTTACAAATTTTAAAAAATTGACTTATTATTTTTCAAAAAGAAATTCATGAAAATATCAAATCATTCATTCAGAAACCATAAAAAAATAGTTCAATTTTCAAACAACAATTTCTTTGAAATGAACATTGATGACCTCAAAAATTGGAGCACTAAAGTAGCAGATGACTGGAATGCAGATTGGAGCCAGAATCAGAAGCCACAAGTAAGTAGGAATACAGTGATTTTTATATAGATTCGATTTCAGAAATCTTTCCCCTTGTTGTTTAGCGAAAAAATAACAGAGGGCTGGAATGAAAAATGGAACAAAAATCAGAAGACGCAAAAAAGGAGTGATCCAGTGTCTTTCGAATTGGTCAACTGTTGGTAATTGGAATATATTTTCCCTGGCCCCCGATTTCAATTCGTATGCCTCTTTTTTCTTCAACAACTTTTCCAAAACCAAACCAAGTGCTTGATTTTTGTCCACTTTTTTGCCTTTCTGAATTTTTTTTGATTATGCAGTCACCTTAAATATTCTACAAAAGTCAGAAATTTCAAACTTGAAATTTAGGAGGCTCAAAACTCCCAAAAGATCAATAAAGTACCTGTGGTCCCATTTTTCGGTTCCTTCCATTCCCATTTTTCTTCTTATTCAAATCCTCTGGAAAAATATGAAGTTGGTTGGCTGGATCTTATTTTTTCGGCCCACGATCCAAGGGTACATCGAAAAAGGGTACATCGAGGGTACATCNAGNTCTTAGGGTACATTGGTTCTGAGGGTACATGGGATCTTAGACTGTAAGGCGTTTCCGCCTAAACCTATAATTTTGAGCAGAAATCAAAATAGTATGTATAAAAATATTGATTTACTTTTTTTGTCCACCTACATGTACCGAACAATCCAATGTACCCTTGGAACCAATGTACCCTAAGAACTCGATGTACCCTTTTTCGATGTACCCTTGGATACTGGGCCTATATTTTCAGCATCTTTTTCGCCTCGTCAGAAGCGTCATAAATTAACAGTCTTCTGTCGTCCGTAACCGTAAAGGTGACGTCCTTTTCGCCCACTTGCATGACATAAGAACTGAAATTTTTTTTAAATTGTTTTCTATTTTAGAATTCGAAACTGGAGATTTTTCCGAAATCGTCAAATGATCGAAGAATCTCAAAAACTCACTCCACGCCAGCCATGGTTCCTTGATAATGTTGAACTGACTGAAAAGAGAGAAAATTGAGAAATAGATTTTCGAAAAAAAAACTTTGTGGATATAACGATTTCATGCGCAAATTCTCAACTTTATCTCTATTCACGTGACATTTGTTTCAGTTTGTTGAAGTTTTTTTCTCAAACGCACTGGGGGTCTAAGCCAACGGGTCAAAAAACGCGCCACAAATAATTTTTAGGACGGAAGAAATTTAATGATTTCAAAGTTGGCGTGGATTTGACCTAATTAGATTTAATCAACGAGTTGCAACGCGTGATTATTTCGCCCAACGTTTAAAAGTTTGATCCTCAGCCAAATAATCCAGAAGCGAATTTTTTCTAAAATCTCACGTTTACTGGGGCGCGATTTCTGACCCGCTGGCTTGAACCCAAGTGCAAACGTATTGAAGTAAAACAGAGCCGCAGAAATCAAATTTGCACGACGAAAAAGTTATGAAATTTGATTTTTTTTTTTCTGATTTCTTGGCGCTTTTTTTGATACAGTAAATAGTAAATATTATTTATATTTTTTGGTATTAAAAATTCTAACAATAAGACAAACATTTTGTGTTCAAAATAGGTAACAATTATAAAAGAAATAAGGCAAGTATAAAGTAAACCACCCAAATTGAGCCTAAAAACGTAAGATTTGGTTAAGAAATGAATAAGCAGATACATTTTTTAGAAAATCAACGGAAGAATTCAATTTTTCGAGAATTTTGTTTTTTGCGACCTCTAAATAACGTTAACTCTCTAAGCGAACGCCACCCAGACCGTCCACTTTAAGTCCATATATCCCGGTCCCTGTAAAAATTATCAAAAAGTAGTCAACTAATGAATTGTTTATCATAATATCAGCAACAGTTTTATTGGTTAACCAATTTTCGATATCTTTCACAGAAAATGAGATACTGTCTATTCAATAAAACGTGGGCGCGCCGCAGCCGAAAAAGGGGGCGTTCCTGATACGCCCATTTTTGCAACAGTGGCGCACACTTTTTCGGGGATTGTTTTCTCGGAATTTTCAGATGTCATTTTTCACACTTTTTCTCATAGAAATTGAATAAAATTGAGTTTTTAATGTAAAACAATCCGGAAAACATGAGTATCACACCACAACGAACATTCCCCCTTCAACCGGCAACCCCAAGAAGCCATCGCCGTCTAGGTATGAAGACACTGAAGCAATTCTGGAACAAATTGCGCAGGAAAAGAACATTAAGTATTCAGAATTTTTTTAGTATGAAAACAACAAAGAAACATTATTATCTGCAAAGAAAAATGGTGAATTATGAATGATGATGGAGCGCTCTGAAATTTATTTTATTTTTCACGATTTTAGATTTTGTTGCCTAATTATTATAAATTTTTCTTCTTTTTCCTATTTCTTCCGACTGTCCAGTGTTGTCGATCTTTCGCTGAAAAAAAACGATTAAAATTCATTAGCATATCAATGAGCGCCATAAAAACCAGCAAAAATATCTCGAATAATCATAATTAGAAGAAAAACCAAAATTTTCTTCAAAATCTTTTAAAAATCGATGAAGAAATCGAAATAAAACACCAAAAATTAGTCAAAGTCGCCTCATTAATCGACGAAAACGCGAGGAAAAACGCAGAGAGGTGCGTGCGCAAAAATATACCCGAAAAAGTGTGCGCCACTGTTGCATAAAGGGGCGTGTCGCGTAAGCGCCACCCCTTGCCCAGATTTTATTGTACAGACAGTACATAGGTTCAAATTGGACGATTCGGGTGGTGTTCAATCAGAGTGTTTACGGTATTTTCGGGAAAGTCTAATTTTTTTCACAATTTTCGAAAATCGACCTCATGAATTTCTGAAAAATACGTGCTAACTCAAACAAAAGACGAAAGATTCATAAAATTCCAAATCGTTCATTCAGAAACCACAAAAAAATTATCGAGTTTTCAAACAAAAATTTCTTTGAAATGACCATTGATGACCTCAAAAATTGGAGCACCATAAAAGCAGATGACGGGAATGTAGATTGGAGCAAGAATCAGAAGAACGAAAAAAAGTGTAATCCAGTGTTTGTTGTTTCGATTCGGTTGACACTTCATTAGTTTCGCTTCAAGTTTGATAATTTCTTCTTTCCTTCTTTCAGCCGATTCACGCTCTTCGTTTTGGCCCAACACATTTCGCACAAGTGGCATAAAAATTTCCTTTACGAATTCTTTTTCTCGTTCAAGATCTTCGTCAACGGTTGGCATGGTTTTTGGTTCAGCCGATTCTTTTTTCTGTGGAGCCGAATTTTTGTGCACTGTGTTTCTTTTAGCAGCCAGATTCGATTCGTACGCCTCTTTTTTGTCCAACAACTTTTTCACAACCGTACCAAGTGCTATGTCTTTGTCTTTGAAGTTATTGCCTTTCTGAAAAAAAAAATTGGGTTCAGATATTGCAATTTTGCAAAAAAGAATCCTGAAAAGTTTTTTCGAAATTCCAAATTTTACAAAAAACGAAAAAAAAAAGATTTTTTTTGGATTCGTCAGACATTCAAACATTTCTAGCAAAATCAGAAAAAAATTCAAACTTCAGGATTAGGTAACTCAAACTTCCCAAAAGATCAATAAAGTACCTTCGCTCCCATTTTTCGGTTCCTTCCACTCCTATTTTTCCTCTTATTCAAATCCCTCGGGAAAATATGTACTTCATTGGCTGGATCCCATTTTTTCAGCGTCTCTTTTGCCACGTCAGGAGCATCATGAATACACATTTTTCCGTCGTCAGTAACCATAAAAGCAACGTCCTTATCGCTCACTTGCATGACATACAAACTGAAATTTGTCCGATGTTTTCTCCTCTAGAGCTGCTGAGATTTCAAGAATTCTTAATTCTTGGAAACTAAGAAATTAGGGAAAATTAAGAAACCCAGAAATTTTGGAGATTTTCAAAATTCGTCGAAAACCTCAAAAAAATACTCACTCCACAACACCCATTGTTCTCCTTGTTGTTCTTGAATTGACTGTAAAGAGAGAACTCTGAGAAATATATTTTCGAAAATTCGAAAATCGAAAACTTCGTGGATTTCATAATTTCAGTGGCAATCTGGCGGCAACCGGCTAAATCTCAATTTTCTGAAATTTTTCGGAAGTCAAATTCTTCCTAAAATTTTTTTTTGAAAAAAATCCCACAACTCACAATTTAGGGTGCAATTTAGGGTGGCGCGTTCGCGATTGGTCTGTAAATGGCCTGCGGCAGGCATATTCCGATGTACCCATGGCGATTTTCCGCGAACAATATTTCACCTATTATAGACGCTGCGCGAATCACCTGTGTCTGTGTGCAATGTCTGTGGTTCGATCCCTCTTGTGGTGTTTTGGTTTTTTTTCCCTTTTCTTCAATGCTCTGACATTCTGGGGAGTCTTTTTCTATATTTTTAAGGTTTTTGATTTTTTTTTTCTTCCAACAAAAAAGTGAAAAAGCACCTAATATAAAAGCTTTATTAGACAAGTAGGAACAACAAGAATATTAAAAAATCAATTAAAATAATCAGCCCAAAAATTAGACTTTTATTATTATAATTCAGTCCAGAATCCCGTGCTTGATCTCAACAAATAATCCAAATTAACGCGAATCACCTCAGATGGAACCTGAAAAAGTTTTATTAATTATCGATTTTTTTAAGCGACCTCCACTTCATCCTGGCTCTCTCCCAGCTCTTCGATCTCCTTATCCACTATTTTCAGCGCTTCGCCAGTGACTTCTGGTCCAAATGGGCGGATTAAAGATAGTTTTATATGTTTGAACACAGTTTTCAACTGCAGATTGCTTTCTGTTCTTGGAATTCTGGCTCTTTTAATACTTGTGAACATTGCCTCAATGAAATTATCGAATTCTCTGAGACTCAGAGCCTGAAAACACTTTAAATAAAAATCGATAATCCGATTATTGATTAGATACCATTTCTCGTCCGGATTCTTTGATTTTTTCGACGGCTCGCGAGGCTTGAATTTCCAGATTTTTGTATTCAAAGTATAAAGCAGTGGTTTCAATGTGATTTGCCAGTAATAGAACACTGATTTTCGATTCTTTGAGAGCTTCTCGAGCCTGGATATTTCTAGAAGACGTGGCGGAAAAATCAGTTGAAAAATCGGCAAAAGGGTCCTCCGGTTTTTCAATTTTCATCCGTTTCGCATCAATTGAATTCTGGAGGCATCGATTTCCGAATATCACTGGTTTCACGTCTAGCTCATCATAATTGATTCTCCCATCCAACGGTGCATTCTGATGTTCAAAGTACGAATGCTCAAAATGTGGTTCAGATTTCCAATAATGGACGTTTTCTGGTGGTTTACTGTAGCGTTTTCTGAAGAAAAAAATCAATATTTTTCTAGTACGATGGCCGCGGCCGAAAGTCCCACAACAAAAACTACCGTAACCCAAAATATTTTCACTTTCCGAATTTTTTTTCGTGCTTTTTTGTCGATTTTTCTTTAAATTTTATGCGAAAAAAAATTGCAAATTGAAATAGCGAAAAAAATGACAAAAACATTTTTTTTTGTCAAAAAATATTTTTGATTTTTTTGAGAAAAAAAAACAGAAATATCGAAAAAAATCCGGGTTTAATTATATGTTTAGGTTACGACAGTTGTCGTCCAGGGACTTTCATCAACTATTATAACCCAAAAATATTTATTTCGGGAACTTTTTCTTTTGTTTTCCTCGTTTTTTTTAAAGATTTTTCTGTTAATTTTCTGCGAAAAAATAGGAAAATAAGCGCGTTTGATTTTTAAAAATAAGAGAAAAAAAAATTAATTTTCCGATTTTTTTGGGAAAAATTACAGAAAAATAAAAAAAAACGGAAAACTTTTTCACTTTCCAGTGTGTAATTTCCCAGTTTTTTTTTGGAAAAAACACAGAAAAATCGGTAAAAGACCAGAAAAACATTATTTAGGTTATGGCATTTGTCGTTATGGGACCTTGGGCCACGGCCACCGGCGTTCTCAGAAGCTCAGAAGCTTACATAGCTGATCTCTTCGCGTTTTCTGGAATAATCTCTGAATGTGGACCTAATAACTCCTGCTTAAATCTCTTTTCATTTTTCTTATGATCAGATTCACGAACGACGGTCCCATCTTCGGAACAAAAATATGTGATTCGTCCTTTTTCGTCCAATTGGACAGTGCATTTTGCATCTGTTAACCTGGAAATTCCGTTTATACAGAAGAATCGAAATTTAGACGCACATTTTAACAAAATCCGCTTTTATCGGTCACCCGAAAATGAATATAAGCTGGACTTTTTCGATTAAAGTGTATGCTTTTAGGTATTCGATTACGCTCAATCGATATCGAAGTCTGAAAAAAAATCAAAAATTGGAAAAAAAAGAAACAGGATATAAATATTTATTCACCCAGAATAAAAATTTTCCGCTCTCACATCAGATCGCTTCACTTCGGCGCACCAATGCCACAGGCTCTCTGGCTTTGTGTATTTTCGGATTTGTTTTAGAATGCATCGGATTCCTTCGTTATAACAATCAGAAGGTATTTTCTTTGCATACATTTTTGCTGGAAAATGTTGATTTCCCGGCGAATTTCGAGCATTTTTAAAGGTAAAAAACGGGAAATTCGCATTCAAAAATTAAACAGACAGTATCTTTAAAGGCGCACAACGCAAAACTTCGAAGGGTCTCACCACGAAATCAAAAAAACTTAGCTTCGAGGCAGAAAAAAAAACTATTTTTTTAAAGGTGGTGTACGGTGAAATTTTTTATTGCATCAAAATGTGCAGAAATGCATGTAGATTGACTTAAAAATAAAGAAAAAATTCAAAAAAAATTCCTTCATCGAGAAAAACGCATCGAAAAATACGCTGAAAGCCCTTACTAGGGAAGGTTGTAATCGGGGGGTGGAACTTTGGTATAACAGCGAGCAGTGGTGTAGTGGCGAGGAGGGATGTACAGTAGGCGACTAGATGCAGGTTCGAACCCCTTCTCGCCATACTTTTTGCGTTTTTTTTTCTGGATTTTCGGACAATTGTAAATGAGCTCTGAAGCAATTTCAAGCAAATTTTTTTAATGGAAGCCAAGTTTCTGATAGCATTGGATTGATTCAAAATTTTTAAAAAGTCATTTTTTTCATCTTTATAAAGTTTATTTATGCGGACACAAATGCTTATCTACTACAATAAAATGGTTAAAACAAATGTATTCTTTGCAACGAGAGCATCGAATAAACGATAGTTCAGGACATCCAGGCTCGTGGCAGGCCTTATCACCGACTTGATCAAAGCAAAACTTTGCTGGAGTCTCAAAACCAGATGAAGAGTCAATGTAGCCTGTTTTCTTCCAAGAATACTGCAAAAACGGCTTGAAATAATCTGACGAAATTTGGTGAAAGAGAAGAGAAATCATCCAAATCTCATTATTCCGTTGAGCAATGATATAATCCGTATGAAAAGCCAAAGCGTACGACATGAACTTTTTGAGGAGATTCTAAAAAATTTTTTGGATATACTGTGTCATCTTTCTGATTGACATACTTTAAATGGCCCATTCCAATGGGCATCCAAAGGCTGAATGAGACCCGTCGTTTGTGGGGGTAATGTTCCTGATGGTCACATTAAAACCGGAAGGGATGCATTGATTAATAGAAGTGTGGTCTGTGAAGCTTGGCCAACTATCGATTAGCATGTACATCTTTTTGGGTTCTCCGGAATAAAAACACATGATTTCAACCAGTCCCTCATCAAATCCTTGGTCATAATGTGGGACTTTCCTGCCCTCACTTCCAGATTTGGGCAATTAGGAATCGGACGAGACGGAGGAAAGTCTCCCGAAGGTTCAGCAAGGACCATAAAAGCTTTGGGTCCCATCGTTCCATCCATAAACAGCATTGGCAAAAAAGTGAAAGAATGTGTCAACGATGATTTCGATTGAATCAATCTTTCGACATTTTTCTCTCCCAAAAACGCCAAACTCCGCGCACCATAAAGTTCCTTCTGTACCCCAGTCTGATCCGAGTTAAAAATCATAGATGAACTGAAAAGCGACATCTCTCTTCCACATACTTTCACAAAATCTTCAGCCTTCTTTTTTATCAGTTCCTTATCAACCATGCATTTCCGGGTAACAAATTTGGTGATCTTCCTGCTGACGATTCTACAAATTTTTTCAATAGTTACAAGAAGATGTAGTGTTGTTTTTTGAACCTGTGGGATTTCTTCCATGACGTAATCCAGCTTTCCGAAGCTTTGAATTCTTGAATTTTGGTTTCCTTATTATTGATGCGGAGCGCAAATCTTTGTAAATCAAGATCATGAAGGGAAAATCCTAGAATTTTCAACCTTATAGTAAACTGGACAATTTCAAAATTACCCGTTTTCAATTTGTCTTGGACCACTTCGAACAACCGATTGCTCAAAAGTTTCAATAAATCAGTCCGGGTTTCCTTGAATTCATTCTTCTCTTTTTCATATGCTCTCAACTTATCGATGTGTTTTGCATCCGTTATCCATCGGAACCGAGATTTCATTGAATCCAGAGAACGGAAGCCTTTTGTGGTGTTCCGATAGTAGTCAATAGCAGTCTGGGCATCTTGTCTGGACACAGCCTTTTCTCCAAATTTCAACCAGTCAAGAGAAGGAAGAACGAAATCGTCGTAAGGCTGTTAAAAATTTTTGTGAATCCAGTATAAAAACAAATATTACCTGAAACTCCTCGGGTTCCCAATCTCCAGATTCTTCATCAATGACTTCTTCTGTTTCCTCGATCATTACATCGCCTTCTTTTGACTGGTCCATGATATTGCATAGCACTCTGGCTAATTTTTTCTCTTGTCTCGACACCAAAGGATCATCAGGAATTTGAATAGAATAGTATTTCAGGAGCAAAAAAAGAACGTTTGCTACGTTCAAAACCATGTCAAGAAATAAATATGATCAAAAACTGGTGCTTGTCAGCCAAAAAAAAAGCAAAAAATTTCGCGCCTTCAGAATTAAACCGCGTCTTCAAAATTAGAAAATGCCTTCAGAATTTCAAAAAAGATTCAAAAATTTAAGTCTATCCTTTTTTAAAAATCCTTCTTTCATCCTTCAAAAATCTAGAAAAAAAAAACGCAAAAAAAGTATGGCGAGAAGGGGTTCGAACCTGCATCTAGTCGCCTACTGTACATCCCTCCTCGCCACTACACCACTGCTCGCTGATTGTTTCCCTTCCCCCAATCTATATAAGAAAGAGGGGAGGCGCGGCGCCCTTAAGAGTCAAATTTGAGCCAAATTTGAAACTTGATTTTCTCGAAACTGGTAGCTCCTCAGCAAAATCTGAATACAGATTTGAAAATGTCTCATTCTCAGCTTTCGAATGATATAAGTTTCATACCAAAGTTCCACCCCCCGATTACAACCTTCCCTAGTTAGGGACGAGGTTTTTTCTAGGCCGCCCGGTGAGTAAAAGCGCGCGAATTCAAACTTTTAAAATTTTTTCGCTCGTTTTCACTGTTTTTTCAAATTTTCCGATGTATCTGGAAGAAAAATTGACAAAAACCTAGAAAACTCTTGAAAAAACCGAAAAAAAAGTGAAAACGAGCGAAAAAATTTTAAAAGTTTGAATTCGCGTAGAGAACTGGGATAGGCGATCGGTGTATGAATTGAAGGGCATATTACATCTCTGAAAGACTTTTCTGGTGAAATAACGAAGAGGAGATTCTAGTTTATTGGCAAGTGTAGCATTGGATGGATCGAAAAGTTCACAACCGTATTCGAGGACCGGTCTAATGTAGGAGTCGAAGAGACGGAAATATAAACAAGGGTTTTTCGATTGGAACGTTTTCAGTATTTGGCGGGACTTGAGTTTAGCAGAGTAGGCAATAAGATTGATGTGTTTGTCGAATTGAAGTTGATCATCAACTAGTATACCTAGGTCCTTGAATGAGCGATGCGGAGTAATGGGGGATCCCTTAATAAGATAAACTGTCTTAGGATTGCGTTTACCATAATGCTAAATTAGACAGAAATGAGCGAAAAAATAAGAGAAAAAGGCAAAAATTCAATAAAAGTTGAGGTACTGTATTAAAGGCGCGTGCAATAATTTGAAAAATACTGTGGTGTTCTCTCTATGGGAGCTAAGCTCCGCCCACCGTTGTTTTCTCGGCCGCAACGTGCATTGATTTCGGACAAGAATAATATTTTTATTGTAAAAATGAAACAAGAGGACATCAATCGAGAAGATACTCTCCATCATTATCGACCACTATCTGCCAACGCATGCGCAAAGATTCGATGCCTCTCTTGAAGAACTCCGCTGGCTGTGACTCGAAGTAGTTCGTCACCCAAATTTTCACTTCTTCGTCGTTTTTGAACTTCTTCTCTGCCAGATGATGCTGCATGGACCGGAACAAATGATAGTCAGATGGTGCCAAATCTGGGCTGTAAGGCGGATGTGAGAGCACTTCCCAGCCCAGCTCCAAAGTTTTTTTTTCTGGGTGATTTTCGCGGTATGTGGTCGAGCGTTATCGTGAATCAAAAATATTGCCGATGTGTCCATTCTTTGATGTTTGAGCTCCAGGTCCACGCGGTCCAACTGACCTTTGTCACATTCGACAGTCACTGTTTCACCATGACCTAAAAGTTCAAAATACACCATACCCCGAGTATTCCACCAGACACATAGCATAACCTTTTTTCCGTGTATATCCGGTTTTGGTATCGGTTTTGGGGTCTCGCCCGGACTGAGCCACTGATGTTTTCTTTTAGAACAGTCATACTGAATCCATTTTTCATCTGATGTCAAAATTGAATGAAAGAAACCGCGATTTTTTGAGCGGCGCAGAAGATCATTGGCCACTTCGACGCGCTTCTTCTTGTTTGCTTTAGAGAGTTTGTGCGGTACCCATTTTCCGCATCTATTCGATTTCCCAAGCGCATGTAGGTGGCGTAAAATTATGATATGACTGCAATTAAACTGTTCTGACAAAATGCGTGTTGTTAGGCACTGGTCCAGTTCGACTGCTTGTCTCAAAGCATCGTTGTCAATGATTTCTGGACGACCACTGCGTTCGTCGTTTTCCAAGCTCTCTTCGCCACTTCTGAAGCGCTGAAACCAGCGTCGACATTGACTTTCGGATAGAGCATTTTCTCCGAACACTTGCGGAAGTGAGCGATGAGCTTCGGCTGAAGTTTTACCTTCTTTGAACTCATGCCACAAAAAGGCTCCTAAGCGAAATTTTTGATCGGCCATTTCTTTAAATGTTTTTCTCATTGAAATTTTTTCTCACTGTTTTCAGTCAAAATGAGAGAGCATTTATGAAAAAGAGGTTTAGAGATAAATTCCTCTCCTTTTCATTTCCTCATAAATTCCTCGGATGATAACAAACGCAATGACAAAAAGTGATTTTTTTTCTCTAAACCTCTTTTGTCAAAAGAGCACTCTCACTTCGAGCTGATAAGTAGCGACAGCAAATAAAAACGAAATACACCCTTTTCATAAATTGCAAATCAATATTATAATTTTCTTGTGACTTTTTTAATATTTTAAAATCAGAAATCATACATTTCATTTTTCTCTGAGAAGTTTTACATATTTTCAGATGCCGTCTGTATATGAATATTTGACGGATCAACAGAAGAATAACATTATGAGTATACATGTTGAAATCGCTCCCGACTATATTAAGTTGATTTTGGGATTGCATTCACCTGAAGGAGAAACCAATTACTATATCAATTATGAAAAATTCGGAAGTAATACTACAAATGTGAAGTTCGATAAAGAAGATTTGGATCCAATACAACACAATTTTGTAGACGTGTTCTTAGAAGATTTAGAGATGCTGATGGTGCATCGGAAAACCGTTTTGTCATTCATTGGTATAGATTATTTCCGAGCAACCGTCGACGATCGTGCAAGAATTTGTGAACGTCTCGAGATGAGTTTGAAATTGAGAAGTACGGCGTTCCCTGTCGAAGGAGCTCAATTTTGTGGAACTACCATAGCCCAGGCGGCATCATTCACACGGTTACTGGATCGAGCGAAATTGTTGAACGTAGAGTTAATGCAGATAGTGGATCCAGAAAACTCTGAAAGGTTTCTGAACGAATTCAAAAGTGCGAAAGCCATCAACAACACATCAGCATCGTGAGTTTTTAAATACCTGTTTTCTGAAAAGTTGAAATTGCCTTATATCAGTTCTTTTCTAATCAAATGCCCCAAACAACTGATCTCGACAAACCGGATAACCAAAGTATGCATGAAATGGTGGCGCGAAAAGTTTTGGAAACCCGATTACCGATGCAATTCATTTTAAGGCAATTACAATGTTTTGACATGTGAGTTTTTAATTTTTTAGATTTTCAAAAAAAAAAACTTCTTTATTTAAAGCGAGACACTTCGAAAAGTGAATCGAGGGATCCGAAATTGTATAGATCTCATAAGACCGAATCCCCACATTGAAAAGTGTGCCATCACTTTCGAATTTTTTAATGGAATGTTGTTGTGTCTTAACACACATACCGAATTGAAGAATAATGAATCTAAACATGTCGAATATTATCCGCACGGAGTGTATACACACATTCAACGAGTTGTTTTTCCTGACACAGACTACATGGATCTTTGTCTTCATGACATTGAAACAATTCTCAGAAATCAATCGGAACGTATAGAGGAACTACTGATTCTTTACCAGGGTAAGTACAAGTAGTACAACACTTCATTTAAGAAATTTTAATATATAAAATTGCGACCATTCGAAAATCGTATTTTTCAACTGAAAATTTTTTAACAAGAGTTAAATGTTCCGACACATAGGTAAGCCTGTGTCGGAGCTAAAGTACAAGGATAGGAACATTAGTTATATAACAGCTATTTATTAAGTAGTTATGGCTCTGAGTAGGGGTCTTCGTGACATCTGCAGTTGGAGCCGACCAAGGTTACGATCCAGAGAGGGGTTCCTTTGATAGGAGATATGGTTTGCACCATCCATTGACCACGATTAGGAGGTTGCAGCTGTGAGGTGTGTCATCGGTATTTGGTTTGGCCCTTGGGCGTCATTAGTCGGATCCAGCGTCAGAATATCCAATGGTCGGGAGATCCTTTGGAAGTAGCCATTGTCTCAGATGTCTCATCATACTGGCGATTCTGCTTCCTTTTATAGCATCTCCTCAGCATATCCACAATTATGCTCTAGATCTGATATGGTGATAAGGAAGTGATCACGCCAAATATGTAGCGTTAACTAGTTGGAGAATTGTGTTTATGACTATTTGTGTCATTCTAGATATGCTCTAGTATTGTTGGATTCGAGGTCGTGCAGTAGAACCTCTGCTGCCGCGACATTAAAGCTTTGAAGATACTTCATCCAAATAAGAACGTTTTTCATTTCAGTGGACATAAAAAATGACGCAGTAGTGATCACGGATGACTTGTCCGAAAGAATTGGAAAAATTTTGGAAGGAAGAGAGTCAACACTTAAAACAAAAAAATTCTCTATGGGATCTGAAAGTCAAAAGAGAATTATGAATATTCTTTCGGCAATTGATGAAAATTCCCTAACGACTATTGAGTTATTGAATTTTTCAAAGTATTTCACAGAAGAGTTCCGATTCGAAGTAGATCAAATATCACAAACCAAACAATGGAAGAGTGCTGAACAATTGATATCCAAGTATTTGACTATAAAAACACCAATTCAAGAGATGAATGTTTTGCACTTTGCTGATTTGGAAATTCTAGTGGAGGCGTTATCCTCTGAAGATGTGGCTTATCTAAAGACAGTGAGTGGTTTTTTTGTGGATATAAATTGTAAGCGCTTTTTTTCCAGAATCTTCTCAAATCTTCATCATTTCAAAAATTCAAAATATCATTTCTCGAATCAACAGTTGATGAATCATTACATACGCTGATTGGACAACCCTATCGTATAGTTTCCGATTCAAAAAAAGTGTGGTACTTTCGAATTCCGAATACGGATTGCTATATTCACGTAGTTTTGAATACACATGACGTAGACAACAAGAATCCTAAAGTCATAAGATTTACGCGAGTTGCAAAAGAAGACACTCCATTTAATTAATTGATTTGAACAAATAAATGATGAATTAATTTATAAATATAATGTAATCGATTTACCAGTTTTTAAATTGTTGCTGAATTCAAAATGTTCCTCAATTTTTCAAATGTTTTTCTGAATTGGAAAATTGTTTTAAAAAATTTAAAGGTGGTGTACGGTGAAATTATTTATTGCATGAAAATGTGCAGAAATGCATGTAGATTGACATAAAAATAAAGAAAAAATTCAAAAAAAAATTCCTTCATCGTGAAAAACGCATCAAAAAATACGCTGAAAGCCCTTAGTTTTTTCGCTCGTTTTTTCAAATTTTCCGATGTATCTGGAACCAAAATTGACAAAAACCTAGAAAACTCTTGAAAAAACCGAAAAAAGTGAAAACGAGCGAAAAAATTTTCAAAGTTTGAATTCGCGCGCTTTTACTCACCGGGTGGCCTAGAAAAAACCTCGTCCCTAAGGGCTTTCAGCGTATTTTTCGATGCGTTTTTCTCGATGAAGGAATTTTTTTCGAATTTTTTCTTTATTTTTATGTCAATCTACATGCATTTCTGCACATTTTGATGCAATAAAAAATTTCACCACCACCTTTTATGAAAAAGAATCGAAAAGGAAAGAAAGAAAACAAATGTCAGCAAAAAATGCAGAATTATAACAGTAGGACATTAAGAAAATAGTTTGTAAGCTTATTTGTGCAAAATAAACAATTTCATAGAAAAATAGGAGCAGAGAAAATATTTTTGATTTTCAGATCCAAAAGCCGGTGCTCGAATTCAGCAAATACTCCAAATTTCCACGAATCGTTTTCAGTGGCACCTAGAAAAAACATTTTTTTCAAAATTATCGATTTTTCTTCAGAAAGTCCAACCTCATCTTGGCTCTCTCTCAGCTCTTCAATCTCCTTCTCCACTATTTTCAGTGCTTCGCCAGTAACTTCTAGTCCGAATGGGAGAATTAGAGACAGTTTAATGTGTCTGTAGATTGTTTTAATTGGCAATGAATCTTCAGTTTGGCTATAATATCGATTTTTGGATCTTTTGATACTTTTGAGCATCGAATCGATAAAACTATTAAAATCCGTCACATTCAGAGTCTGAAAAAATCAATAAAATAATTATAGCAACTCTAATCCCTAACCATTCCCCTTTTCTCTCTTTTAATCATCTTTTTTTTTATTGCATCAAAATGTGCAGAAATGCATGTATATTGACTTAAAAATAAAGAAAAAGTTCAAAAAAAATTCCTTCATCGAGAAAAACGCATCGAAAAATACGCTGAAAACCCTTAGGGACGAGCTTTTTTCTAGGCCGCCCGGTGAGTAAAAGCGCGCGAATTAAACTTTTAAAATTTTTTCGCTCGTTTTTACTTTTTTTCGGTTGTTTCAAGATTTTTCTAGGTTTTTGTCAATTTTTCTTCCAGATACATCGGAAAATTTGAAAAAACAGTGAAAACGAGCGAAAAAATTTTAAAAGTTTGAATTCGCGCGCTTTTACTCACCGGGCGACCTAGAAAAAACCTCGTCCCTAAGGGCTTTCATCGTATTTTTCGATGCGTTTTTCTTGATGAAGAATTTTTTTTTGAACTTTTTCTTTATTGTTAAGTCAATATACATGCATTTCTGCACATTTTGATGCAATAAAAAATTTCAACGTACACCACCTTTAACTAATTTCGCATTTTCGGAGGACCAAGAATTCTGATGACGCTTTTCCGGTTTTCTATCGAAACTTCTCTCGTCCTTCAAAACGGTCACGTCATCAAACTCTTGCTCATCGAGTTCATCATAGTTGATTCTTCCATTGAACGGTCCGTTTTGGATTCTGGAATATTCCGAATTCCGGTCATCGGAGACGTTCGTCGGAGCTTCATGTTCCGACTCTGATTCTTCTGAACCTGGGTTTTCAAGTTTCACATTCGAATTCTTCGCTGGTCCCGGGTCAGTCGGTTGACTGGGACGAACTCTGAAATTTGAAAAAATCAATGAAAATTTTCAGAAAATCAATATTCTCACTCTGTAGCATTGCCGAATAGAAGTGTACGCTCTTTTCGGAGTGAACACTGTTCCTTTAAAGAATTTTTCCTCTTCTTTATGATCAGATGATAGAACGACACTTCCGTCTTCAGAGCAAAAATACTTGATTCGTTCTTTTTCATCCAATTGAACAGTGCATTTTGCTAAGTGTACTCTGAAAATATTGATGATTTTTGAATTTATTATTGTTCAAATTGTACATTTTAACAAACTCATCGCTAAATAGCCAGCTAAAAATGAAGACTAAATGCACTTTCTTCAGAAATGTGTATCCGTCGGCTTCAAATTTCTTTGCAATTTTATTCATTCGTCTGTCTAGTCTGAAGGAATATATAAGTTCGAAAAAATCGATCGAAACACAATACTAGCGCTGCATTGAAATCTCGGTAATTCCCTGTATACGAGATCGCATTTTTGCTTTCTTTGCGCCAAAGTGGAAAGTTCTCTGGATTTTTGTATTCCTTTCCACAATATATCCGAACGCTTCATTTTAGGTGTTCTGTGAGCTGAAAAAAACTAGCTTTTCATAGAAATTTTTGGGGAATTTCGCGGAAATTTGGTTGAAAAATCATACATTTGAAGAAACAAGAATTTCTCAGCTGGAGAGTGTGCGAAACGAGGAGGGTGGTGAGACAAATTTAAAGGCGTTCTCCATAAAACCTTCAATGGTTCCACAGCGAAACAGGGGATACTGTAGTTTTTCTTAAAAAATTAATTAGTGGTTATAGATTCATGTATGGTCCTTTTCCGGAAGAAAAATGTCAAAAATGCTCATTTTTGAAAGTTTTTTACAGAAAAAATCTATCTCCTCTTTCAGTTTTTGACATTTCTAGGAGTTCTATAGCTCAAAAAAAAAACCGCAATTATTTTCTCTACATTTGCTATGGATGAATTTTTAATTTGTCCGATAAAACTTTTTTTATAATTCAAAA